TCTGTATGCAAGTCCCCCTTATATTCTTGGGCGAAAAACAGCATCACAGAATTTGGAGGGATCTGCCCTCCAAAGAGTGACTGTCCGCCGACCCACATATTAGTCTGGGAATTGCAAATCGGGCCATTTCTCTTAAAAAGGCAGGCCGAATGGAATTCTCTCCAGCGCTTTGAAGTATGGGATTTGCTGCCATGATCCGTGGTGGGGCCCTGCCCCGGATGGCTTTACAGGGGATTACGCAGATGCATGGAGGAGACGGTACCTCCTGGGGGTAGTCTAACGGCGGCAATGTCTCCGAGCCGCAGTGGAAGAGGGGCTCTGGTGCTCCATCTCCTGCCTGTGGGCCTCCCACTGGGGCTTCTGGCTGCCCGGCGTGTGTCCCAGGAGGACTCCGCTCCGATCTCCAGGCCTCTCCGATGGAGAGCCTCTTCCACCTACTTTCTCCATGTTGCTGTTCGGTGCCATCAGGTCGCCTCTGACTTGGGGTGACGCTGTGCAGGAGCACTCGCCCAAGCGTGCTGAGCATCGCAGCTCTGCTCAGCTCTTGGGGGCCCGAGACCGCGGTTTGCTTGATGGGCCCGTCCATCTCAGGGCGGGCCTCGGTTCTCTTCTCCTGCCTGTGACTGCCCCGGCTTCACTGTGCCTTCCTCCATGCCTTGCAGAACTGGGTAAGCATTCATCCTGGCCTCTCCTCAGGTGACCCTTCCACACCCAAAAGCCCCAGGCGCGGCTGCCGTTGCTTTTCGGGAAGGTGGTTTAGGGCCCGGTTGTTGCGGCTGCCCTTCTCCACATCCTTTCCGGGAGAGTGGCTTCTGGGCTCGCTGCTGATACCATGACCGGCTCCCTTCCGGTGGGGCTCCCACGGGGCCCACGCTGGCAGACTAGCGGAGAGCTCAAAAGCCGCTTGGCAAGAGGCGCTTGCTCCTCACTTCCAGAGCGAGGGGAGCGTTGAGTCGAACACTGGGCGCACCGGCCCTCTTCCTGCCGGGATGCCGCGCAAGAGGCCATGAGACCCGCTTGGCCAGATGTGACTCATCCCACCGAGAGACTTTTGTGGGCTTCTCCTCCGGCTCAGGCGGGCTCTGCAGCTCAGGGAGCGGATCCCCGGGCCCCGCAGCTCGTCAGTGACAGTGCCATTTTTCGGGGCTCCTGTGAGGATGAGGCGTGTGGGGTCAGTGCGAGGGAGAGGCGGCCGATCCCACCTCCGCCACACACGGCGGTTTCCCGCATTCTGGCTCAGCCTTTCCAACTTGCTGCTTGCAAGATGTTCCGGACTACACTTCCCAGCAGCCCTGGCAGAACGGGAGTTCAGAGTACCTGCAACCAGGGCACCAGTGTGGGGCAACGTAGCCGAAGACGGGCGCAAGAACCAGGGACTTCGGCAGCGTCTTGCGCCCTCGGTCTCCCTTCCTGCTCAACAGCTGCCTTCCCTTTGCATTTTCACTCTTACCGTTGGAAAGATGAAGAGGAGACAGCAAAGGGTTGTTGAAGGGAAGCGGAGGATTTAGTCCCCGAACAATCCCGCCAGCCTGAAGAAGCAACCTTTCGAACCCCAGGGAATCCCAGCGCTGCAACAATTCAGTGCGGTGCTTATGTTGAGCCTTGCTTCCTGGCCCTGGGGGACCGGCTTGCACCCGGAGCTCAAGGCGAGCGACCGTCCTTGTCCCAGTTAGAAGAGCTGGGGCGCTCGTCCGTGGAAAGCCCAAGGGGGCCGGGGGCAACGATCACGGCATTACCGTGCCCCCCTCTGGCTACCGCCACCACGTAAGCACTTTGCACCGTGTGCTGAAAAAGCCCGGCTTGGAGGCCTGCAGTCGGGAAGCACTCGGCGGCCTGGGATGCTGGCAGAGGCCTCGGCGTCCAAACAGTAAAAATGAGCAAAGAGGTTGACACTGCCCAGATGACCACGAGCTGTGTGAATTTCACACAACAACAAGAAAACGCAAAAGGAAGAGAAAAATCACACTTCCCAACCGGGTTCTACAAGGTTTCCCGAAAGCACCACCTTGTTCGTTTCCCTTTTGCTTCATGTTTTCCAGGAAGAGACAGATGCAATCATAAATATTACATCTGGCTTTTCAAGAGAAACAACACCGGAGGAATCCCCTGACTAGCAACACACGAGCACAGACACCAAAATAAGGAGAGTTCGGGGGGAAATTAAGAGCCTGCACAATTTCCTGCTTTCCACCTCCCTTGGGGTGTATCTGCCCCTGCTGTTTTCACCCCTGGGCAACTGGGAACGATCCGAGGTGAGGCTTGCCGCCCATCACTGAAGCCGGCGTAGATCCGCGGGGTGGAGCCAAGGCCAGCCTGGATCACACAGTGCCTCCAAGCTCGTGTGCGCACGCACTTGTGTGTGTGTCGACAGTGTCTGCCGGCCGCTCGTGCACCGACACATTCAGGGTGATGTCGGAAAAGACGCAGTGTTTCCACGTTACTGAGAATATCCTTCCCAGCCCGGTCCGTGTGCGCTGGGTGGAGTGAGGGCTTCCACCGCCCGCCCCCCGAGTGCGTCGGCCTCGCGCTACCGATCGAGCAAGAGCAGTGCCGTGCCGCAAGCGACACTCTCCTTTTTCCAAAACTCAAAAAACTAACTTGCAGGTTTGCTGCTGACACAGAGCGCTTTGCACCCCTGGAGGCCCCCTGACGGAAGGCCGACGAGATAAAGGGCTGGCCGAGCACCGAAAGAGGGGAGCTGGCTCCCCTAAGAATGCCGAAGGCTGATTTCTGCCCCCGGGTCAGGACTCGGCTCCCTGCTCGTGCTCAGAAACCCACTGCCCCCGTCCCATTTTGCTCCAGGTGTGAGATCCGAGAGCACATCACGTCCTGGGTCCGAGAGCGGTGGCTTGGCACTTCCCTGGCAAAGGGACGGGCGGACAGGTTTGGCCTCCGTGCTCTTTGGAGCGTTGTGCGGCTGCTCCGGGCAAAGCCTCCGGACCACCCACCGCTCCCCAAGCTGCTGCAGAGCAAGGCTCTGAGTGGGAGGCCTGGTCCAGCCGTTTGCCAGGCCACGTCTGCATGCAGAGCCGGGGCCGTCCGTGTGCGGACAGGCGGCCTCTGGAACGGCTCGCTCAAGAGCACCTGCTCCGTCGCCTCCCTCTGCCCGGCCCAGGGCCCTGCGCCCCGTTCGTTTCTTCCCGAGGAGCTGCAGGGAAGCCGGCCAGCCTCCCAGGACGCACCGCCTGTTCTTGGTGGCACTTGGCTGGGGCCGAACACACCTCTTCCCCGTCTTGCACGGGGCATCCGGATTTGACTGGCAGCGCCTCTCCTGCCTCTCAGGCGGGGAAGGATCCGGCCCTTTGAAACCTGGAGACCCCGGTGCCACGGGCCTACAGAATCTCACATCAGCCACAACGTGCAATTCCAGCCTGGGAAGGGGGCCACGGGACCTGGCCGCCCTTCCGCAGACCAGCCCATTCCTCTGAGGAGCTCCCCTGCTCCCCTCCTCGGGGCCGGAGAGCGAGATCCGTATTCGGCCTGGTCGGTCTGCCTCCTTCACATAGGAGACGGCGCCACAGCAAGAGCGTGGGGCCCCGCAACGGAGGGCAGCGCCAGTGGACGCGCGGAGCAAGCTGGGGTCTGCCCAGGCGTGGGCCGGGGGAGCTGCCCGGAGGAACGAGCCGAGCCGCCTCGCAGGCACCAAGTGATGCCGCGTCCGCCCGCCTGCCTCTGCTCACTCGGCCCGGTGACGGACGCGGCGTCCTTGCCTTTCAGGCGCTTCCTGGGTGCCATGCTGTTCCCAGCAATGGGGCGAACAGCATGGATTTCCTTCCCTCTCGATGCTTCAAAGCACAGCGGAGGAAGATGCCCGAGCGCCCGGGGAGAGCGAGCCGCCCTTTCTGGCCGGGCAGGAGCTTCTCCGGCACGACGCCCCTGCCGTGTGGGCTCTGCATGACCGCCGGGCCGGAGGGGGCACAGCGGGCGGCCGGGGTGGGGCTGGCTCTGGGTGCCAGCGAGGATCCGTGTCTGGAGCCCTCCGGAGGGATGCGGGGGACGAGTGGGTCTGGTTCTGAGACGGCCGAGGCTGCGAGTTGTCGGCTCCGGCTTGGAACAGCCACACTGCCGACACGGGGGGCCGGGAGTGGGGCATTGCCCCCTTTTCAGTCTGAGGGCCGAATTCTGTTTTTGGGAACTTGAGGCCCACTCCCTGCAGTGGGGGGCCAAGGCACCCCCAAAACCAATCCTATTCTAGCTCGAGCCCCTTCCTCCCAGCAACTAAGCCTTGCACAAAACACGGGAAACAACTTCCAGAAGGCTTGTGAAATGCGGGGCAGCCCGTCTCGGAAGGGAGGCGCACGCCCAGCGGTCGAATCTCACCCGCAGAGCCAGTGACCGGGTGCGGGTCTCACCCCAGGACTGGCGCGCCTGAAGGGGGCTGCGTGACGACGCCATCCCGCTGCACAGGGCGCCGTGAGGGGAGCGGGCCTGGGCACGGCTGGGGTCAGGGGCATGGGGAGCGCGGCCGGCCCTCCCGTGAGGCAGCGGAGGAGGAGGAAGGCCGAGCTGCAGGCTCCCCACGCAGCGCCCCGCACCCAGCCAGTGCTCTCCTCCAGCCGGAAGGCGCTGCCCGGACTGTCCTGCTGCAGCTTCTGCTGGCGGGGCTCTGCAGGCCGCTGCCCAGCTCCTGGCTCAGCCGGAGACCCTCTCGGGCTAGGAAGAGGGTGGGCACTGAAGGGCCCCATCCCTCGGGAACGCTGGCCGGTGTGCCTTCCCTGAGAGCCCACGTGCCCAGCCCTGACGGGACCTCCCGGGCAGGGGCTCTCCTGAGCCATCCTCTCTCCACAACGCCCGGCTCTGAGGATGGGTGGTGGGCCGCGCGGGTGGTGGGTGGGCAGTGCAGGCCTCCGCTACGGCTGCCGACGATGGCGTTGGCCGTCTCCGCCGCAGCGCCACCTGGCCGGCTCGTGCGCCGCTCCTCTGCCGAGACCCTCACTCCTTCATTTCAGGCTTTTACATCCCCCCCGCCGACGAGCGCCTCGGACGCCCGCGCTGCCTACCTGCTCATGGTACTCGATCCCCATGCTCAGCGTGTTGATGAGGATGGCAATCATGATCCCACGGTTGAAATATTTGCTCTCCACAATCCTCTTCAGCTTGTCGCCGAAGGCCCTCCAGAGCCTGGCTATTTTATTCCCCTCCCGGGCTTGCTTATTCTTCCTCTTGTGGCTCCTCTTCTGATTCCCCTGCTGCTGAATTTGGTCCCGCTGGTCCCCGTGCTTGACGTCCTGGGTGAACTCGTACACCCCGTGGCTCTCGGCGCCCGACTCGTCGCTCTCCGGCTCGCTGGACTCGCTCTCGGCGCCCTCCAGGAGGCTGGCGCAGAAGGGGCAGTTCTGCAGCTCGCAGTTCGACATGCTGGCCTGCGGGCCGGGCAGCGGGCAGGGGACGCTCAGGCCCGACAGCCGGCTGGACGCCTGGCAAAGGCCTGGAAGGGAAGCACACGGGGCGCGTGAGGGCCGCCCAGCTCTCCAGGGGCCTCTGCCGCGGGCAGCGAGCGACCGGCGAACCCGCCCCGCCCATGCGCTCTGGAGGGCGAAAGGGGGCAGGTCCCTCCTTCCCCAGAGGTGAGGAACCTCGCTCGTTCTTCTCCGCCCGAAACAGAACGGAAGCGGAGTCCTCCCCAGCTGCATCAGAGATGCATCAGGGATCCAACAGGAGGCGGGAATGCTAATGTCTCTGGATGGCGTACAAAAAACAAAACAACCACACACAACAGACAACATACTGCATCCAACCATTAATGATAAAATCAAAGATAACGCCAATTAACTGTTAAAATAGTAGGGAAATAAAAAGGCCTTCACCTGACGCAGAAAAGAACGAAGCGATGGTGCCAGGCAAACCTCCCCGGGGAGCGAATTCCAGAGTCGGGGCGCCACCACCGGAAAGGCCCTGCTCCGGGTAGCCACCCTCCCAGTCTCCTTCACGGAGGCTCCTGGAGAAGGACCTCCACCTCCGACCTCAAGGGGTGGGAGGGCACCCAGGGAAGGAGGCGCTCCTTCAGGTATCCTGGACCCGAGCCGTTTAGGGTCACCTTAAATTGGGCCGGACTTCGATCGGCAGCCAGTGTAGATGGTGTAAGGACCGGCGGGATAAGGGGGCACGTGCCGGTCTCTGTTAATAACCTGGCAATTAGGCTATTAATTGGACCAATGGAAGAATCCAATTCCAGTGGAAGTATCTGGACAGCCTCCAAGGGCAGCGGCTGCCCTCGTGCCCTGCGGGAGGTTTTCCATGGGCAGCGGGTCTTCCCGAGGCGCCGCCATCCCCCGTGCCCACCAGTACCAGAGCGGGCACCTCCGGGCCCCGCCTGGGCCCCTTCCCCTTACCATGCTCTCCAACCAGCTGATGGAGCTTCCCGTAGGGGTCCACGTTCAGGTGCACGGGACTGTGGAGCGTGGCCACGGAAGTGGTGGCCCCGCCGGCGCCGCCGTTCCTCTTCCCTGTGGAGGCCGGCCCGGCGCCGGGCTTGCCAGCCGGAGAAGGCAGGATGGTCGGGTAGTTCGTGTTGCCGCGGCAGCCCGGCTTGGCCCCCGCCGCGCCGCCGCCACCGCCGGGAGACTGGCGCGTGGCCTGGGCCCCCTCCACGTGGCAGTCGGTGTGGTAGACGCTGTGCACGGACCCGGCGTCGCCCCCGCGGCCGGGCGACGCGGGCGGGAGCATGAGCGGCCCGCGGGGCGGGAGGGCCCGCAGCTCCAGGCCGCAGAGCTCCGGGGCGGGCCGCGGCCCCTGGGGGCTCCCGTTGCTGAAGTGGTAGTGGTGGTGGTGGTGGTGGTGGTGGTGGACAAGGTGGTGGGCGGGGGGCGCCCGCCTCCGGGCCCGGCGCCCGGGGCCCTCGGCGGCGCGGTTGGGGCTGACCTTGCGCCGCCGGCTCTGCCAGCTGGCGTAGAGGCGCAGCGCCCGCCGCTTGGCCTTCCGGAAGACGTGGCAGAGGTACTTGAGCAGCTCCTCGTAGCAGCTGCCCGGCTCGGAGAAGCTGGCGATTGTGCTGTCGTTGGAGAGGTAGCGAGCGCGCTGCTCCTGCATCAGCTGGTTCTCCCGCTGCTTCGTCTCGGAGAACTGTGTTGCTATCACAACCAGGCACAGGTTAATCATGAAGAAAGAACCGACCTGGGGAGGCGGAGGGGGGAAGCCGGGAGGGGTCGCGTCACTGGCGGTGTGGGGAGGGAGGCGTGCGCCAGCGACGGGGCGGGGGGGCTCCCATGGACGCCTCCCGCTGCCGCTCCAGACGGGGCGAGAAGGGGGACCGCTCCAGAAGCCCTGCTGGAAGGCGGCTGCGTTTCTCCTCTGCCCTCCCCACCCCATTCTCCTTTTGTGCTGTGCCTTGGTAGATGGCCATTGTGTTTGTTTATTGATTTAAACTGATTTATTTTGTCAGCCGTCCAGAGACTTTTAGTATTGGACAGCGTAGAAAACCTTCAAATAGATTAACAGAACATTTGGATGCCGCCTGATTGTGCCCCAGCACCCGTTTAAAAGGTTTTATGTGGGCCGGTTTGCCTGAGAGGTGGCAAGTCATGAGTGGAGCCGGCTGGAGTCCAGGGTCAGACTAGATGGCCCATAAGACCCCTTCTGACTCACTGTTTCTATGTTTCTAAAATACTTGGCAGAAAGAAATAGAGCGGTGACCCGGGGGCTCCCACAGTCAAAATCCGGGGATGTCTTAATCAGCAGGGGCGATGCTCGTGTCTGCCTCCCGCACCCCCAGGCTTCCCTGCTCTCTCCGAGTGCAGCTGAAACTCTCACAGAAGCTGGCGTGGGAGGGAAAGCGGATTTTCCCGGCCAGAACATGTTGCCATGAGCTATGCCTTTTGCAGTGAAGAGTATTCTGGGATGGCTCGGCCTTGTGTGGATAATTAAAACCCATTAGCTCTGCAAAGAGCGCCTGGGACTGCTTTGTGGTCCTGGAGGGCAGGCGCTTCTCCCGGTACGGGAAATTTTGGGCTGGGGGTCTTAGGCTCCTCGCAGGCATACGTGCCCCCTTCCTCCGGGGATTCCAGCCTTTCCCGCCAGCATCCGATGAGCCCACCGGCACGCGGTTCTCGGAAGCTCATTAGCCTTCCCCTGCTAGCGGATCCGAGTAAACTGGCCACGCGGGAGTGCAGTGCCCCTCCATGGGGTGCGCAGGCTCAGGCGGGCACCTGCGCACAGGTGGACAACCCGCTTCCGGCCTTCCTGGCCGTGCTCGGCGAGCATCTCCAGTGGGGCATTTCCCCTGGCACTGGGGCTCCCCTGCCCCCTGGGGGGCCGCATTTTACTCTGGCCGCCTGCGAGAGCCCAGGACTTGCAGCCTGCAGCGAGGCCACGCCGCCAGTGCGCTGCGGAGGGCCAGCCCGGCTGCACAGCCTTTGCCACAGGGAGAAAACGGGGAGGAGGACCCCTTGCGAGCTCTCCTTCCTCGCGAGCGGAGGAGGCAGGGTGCAAGTGCGGCCGCAGCTGGTGATGCACGAGAAAGTGGGCAATAAGGAGCAGTGGGGACAGTTCCATGGGGACAAAGGAGCAGTGACCGGACCCTTCGGACCCCCGGAATGGAAAGGCAGCTTCGGACGTGGTGGCGGGGGGGGGGCAGCGGAAGGAGCAGTGCCCCTTTGGCAGGGGCCTGGGCCGAGGCCGGCCTGGCGGAGGCTTTGGGGATGCCCCAGCCCGAAGGACAAGGCGGGCACAGCCGAGGCGGGACGCCCGGATCGCCTCCGCGAGAGCGGCCCAAACCTGACCCAGCCTCGCGCAGGGCCCATCCCCGTACTTACTATTATAAGCAGTATAAAATATATAAAATTGTAAAAGGAGTGAGCATCCATGACATAATACATGATGTCCACCCATCCTTCCAGGGTTATAACCTGTAGGGGAAGACGAGGAAAGGGGGGGGGAGAGAGAGAGAGAGAGAGGGAGGTAGTTACAAGCCAGGGACGGACGGACGACCGGGGTCCCAAATACACGTGCCAACGGCCCCCCATCCCCGGGTCCCCGCGCTCCTCCCCGCCTCCTGTTCTCACCTGCATCCCACTCATACACCTCACACGCAACCGCTGCACCCACACGGCCCCGACGGAAGAGCTTCTCAGCACGCCAGGGCGGCCTCCAAGCCTGGCCAAAAAAGACCAGAGGCCTCGCCCAAGAGGCGGACAAAGCAGGACTCGGAACTGCACCCGCCGGCGTATTTTGGGACCCCCAGAAAATGCTAGACTAGATGGACCCTGGCCTGAGCCAGGAGGCGACTGCTGCTGACTGCCCCCTTGCTCCCCCTTCCCCCCAGAGCCCCCAAAGCTGCCCCCCGCATTTCCCTGGATCAATGGGCTTTCAGAGCGTGGCTGCCTCACCGTCCGTTTACCAACACCGTGGGAATTAAAAGCAAGACAAACGAAAAGCATCCGAGAAGTTGGAATGTTTGATAGCATTCCACGGCCCCTCAGCAGCGGAGCTGATGGATTTTCAAGTCTCTTCGAAATCTACTGACACTAGAACTTGTGCAGACAATACTGAAGGAGATTCCCAGAACTGCAGCCTGCATCTGACTTCACGCCCTGCCCCTCCGTTTGCGGGATGCATCCGGAAAAGAAAGAACAAAGCGCAACTAGCAAAATCGACTCGTCCCGCTTGCTGTCCTTCTCTGTGCTCCTGCGGTCGAATCCGCTACCTCGCCCGTCTCTTGACCAAGAGAGAAAGTGCCCTCTGAGATCGTCCGGAGTTGGCATCGACCTTGCGGAGGGATGGCACAGATTAGCGTCAGGCCTCTGCTAGCGACCGCAGCTGAACGCAGGGCGAGCCCGCTGACGCCTGCCGGAGCCTGCGGCGAGGGCTTGATCTCATTGCGATAATGAGGGCGCCATTTGTCACCGGAGGACCGGCCTGCAGGCCCCTCACGCGTCGGGCTGGCCGAGCACCGGCAGCGACGTGGGCCTGTCAGGAGTCGGAAGCCCCGGAACAGAATGGCAGGAACGATGCGCTCTGCAGCACATCGGCGCGGCCTTGGGAGCCCTCCGCGTGGCCAGGGACGGCTCCTTCTCCCAGCTGCCATGTTGTGTTTGCGATAGAAACAAAGAGGGTCCGAAGGGGTTCCTTGGGCCATCTAGTCTGACCCCGGCTCCAGCTAGCTCCGCTCATGCAACCGCCCACATGCGTTTGCCCAGACTTTCCTTGAACACACCCTCACTGATGGGGCCTCCACCACCTCCCTTGGAAGCCCCACAGGTCCTATGGGGTGGGGAGCCTTTCTCAGCTCAAGGACTGAGGCCGATTTTGGAAAAGCTTTCGGAAAGGCTGTGGGCTGGCGCGAAGATGAAGGGTGCTGGGTAGATTTTCCCTGAACCTCTCAATGCCCGTCGTGGTGACAGGAGAGCCATTGCATCATTTAGAAGAGGGGGGTGCGCAAGCCGCAACCCAGCCCACAGTCCCGGTGCAGGGCCCCACGCGGCCTTGCCCCAAATGCAGCTCTCACGGCACCAGCCCTGGGCCCCCGCCGAGGCCGCGCCAGGCAGCCCGTGCGCCTCCTCAAAGAACATCCACAGGCCAGGTTACAAGCCCAGTTTTCTTTCAAGCTGCCTGCAAAACGTGCTCCGAAGGTGCACATTAAAATTGCATAATTGTGCTTGCTGCCACTACTGTTAAATGTTTGAACAAAGTGGAAAGATGCTTTAATTAACTGGCAAATCAACAGTGTGTGTGTATTTTCAATCTCCTTTTAGCTGTGGAAGGAAAAAGGGGGGAACAAAGGAGCTGAGGACTTAATTAACACCATGAGAAACAAGACGCGTTAGAACTTGCAAGCCAACGTGAGGGCCGTTCGTGTTAATGGAAGCTCTTCTGACTCACCGGCTGGCTGTGCGTCCCCCAACCCTGTTCTTTGCACAGCGAAAACCATCAGGCAGCTGACGGGGACACCAGATGGTGCTTCCTGGAAACACCTCATTAGCAGTGGGGCTAAGGAACCGGCGGGCCCCTCGGAGGAGGAGATGCGGGACAACAGACCTGCACGGAATCTAAAACCCGACGACCGGCCGCTTGACTGACTATATTTGCCTCCTGACTATTCCCTGGGAAGGTAGGAAGTCTTCCTGAAGGGGCTGGATTTTTGCTGCCAGCTCCGTTAAAAATGCCAGCTCTAATTTTTAAAGCCCTAAGGCCAGATTAGAAGAAAGAGCAACATCTGCCATAGTTAACCTCTGCAGACACGAAGGTCCGTCGTCTGAGGATGCTCTCCAGGCGTCCTTCAGGTGAAGGGGGCCTTCTCAGTGGTGGCACCCCCTTCCAGGGCATGCCCTCCCCAGGATGCTGCCTGGTGCCCAGCTCGATCTTTTGCAGAGTTCTCCTAGACTTTGGCTCACAGCAATGGACTACTGTTGACTTGCTCATTAATTTGTTTAGGGATGGTGCGCTTTCAAACAAAGGCTGGGGAAAAGGGGGAAGGGGGCTGACCGTGTGTCCGTTCACACACGCCGCCACGCAGAGTATCCGTCTTCAAGCCGGTTTCGAAGCTGTGACGGTGATGCCCCCTTTGCACCCCCAAAAGCGAGCGTGAGCAGAAGAGTTTTGTCATTTCTTGCGTGTGCTTTTGCGTTTGAAAGGACACACCCCAGGATACGCGCACTTGTGGACGTGCGCACTTCCAAAAATGGGCATTCTTCCCCAAACGTCTGTCGGGCACCGCAGCATGTCTTTGGTAAGGATTTGCCTAAATCCCGGGTGGCTGAATGCAGTCAAAGCGCCTCGCAAGCTCCCGTTTGGCGATGCCCAGCCGGGCCCCTCCTGGGAGGGGGTCATCCGGTAGGTACCCTGTGCTCCCGAATATTGACAAGTGTTTTAAATTATCGGCCTGCTTCTTGGAAGTAAGTCAGTGCAGATGGATTCTCTGTGCCCTTTGGACCGTTAGAAAGCTGAGATTACAACTCCGATAACGCAATGGAGCACACGTGGCTTTCAGCGTCTGAACCGGTGTCACATGGAGGCCGCCTTCGGACGGACACTCATTTTGACCTTTGCTCTGCCTCTGCTGAGGCTTACGCAAGAGCAAGCAAGCAGCTTGGCCGTTTTTCAGGATGTGACCCTCTGCCAGGCTCCGGGTTGAGGTCCTGGGGTACAAAGCCCTGAACCGGCTGGCCCGGGCGAGCGAGAGAATCGATCTCGCACGCCAGCCTCCCTGGCCACAGAGGGCCCCCGGAGCACATTCTGTCTGCGGGAGGTTCCACAGATGCACGGCCTGGCTGGAGCCTCCCAGAAGGGCCTTCCGTGTGGGGGCCCCAACTGTGGAAGTCCCTGCCTTGGGAGGACAGGAAGACGCCACCCGCGCTGCAGGTACCCTCGTGCCAAGCTGCTCGGCTGCGGATCTTAACAAGGCCGTGCCTTAAAGTGTTTTAATTAGTTGTAACCCTACCCTGTTTGCTTCTCCAGAAGCTGCTTTGATGTGGAGCAGGCAGGAAACATTACAAGTAAATAACGAAACAAAGAAAGAAGCAACAGCTTCCCAGAGACAGTCCCAATCTGCTGGAGACAGCCAAAATCCTGATCTGGTCCCCATTCCTGGCATTTCAGAGGTGCCCTGGGAAAATGCGGATGCTGTGAATTGCCAAAGTGGTACTTTCTCAGAGCTCCGCTCCTTTCCCAGCACCTGGTAAGAGGATGGTGGCGTGAATAATGGCGCTCTCATTTCAGCCCTACGGGCTCTGCCTGACCTGCTGCCCCCACTGACCCTCCTGAGCTGCCCGATACCTGCCTTCGACTTCCATCTTTTTTGTGCCTTTGTCTTCACTGGGGAGAAAACCAGGCACGGTCTTTCAACGTCGACAGGTTGCAGGTCCGCTTTTTCTCGGAGACCAAGTAAACAGCTTCCCTCCAGATACGGGCTGCCATTCGACCCCCGTGTCAAGCCATGAAGCAATTGTTTTAATCACCAGAGATAACAATGACCAGGGGCAGCGAGTGCAATTTTGCTTGGAGAAAGCGATTTCAGGCTAAGTTAGGCAGCAGGCTGGAAACCGGCTGCTGGCGGGGGGCGTGCCAGAAGAGTCAATTAAGACGATCGGAAAACTGCTCCTGCAAGGCTCTGCCAAGCTCAATCAGGACCTGACGCCAGAGCGAGCGAAGGAGACGGTGCCCCGGGGGACGCGGACGGATCGGGGCTTCAAGGTTCGGCTGTGCAGACGGCTCGGGGGCCATGGAGAGGCGGAGGATGGAGCAGGCAGCAAGAGCGCCAGAGGAAAATCCAGGGCACGGGGGGCCAGGCCGCCTTCAGCCCAGGGCCAAATCCAGTTTTGCAGAAGGGGGACGGACTTGTGGGGGGGTGGAGCTGAAGGCAGAGGCCAGCCCCAAATCTCGGGCTGTTTTAGCCTCCATCTCTTCCTGCCTGTCGCTCAGCCCCAAGAGACCCTTTTTAAAGGTCCCTTTAAAAAAAAGGTCTCTTTTTTGCCACCTGGGCAAAACTGGAGGGTTGTGTTTGGCCACGGGCTGAAGTTCAAGAGGGACCGGGGGGAACTGGAAGCAGCGGGCGGCCTGGCCAGAGAACCAAGGGGGCAGAAAGGCCCCCAGGAATTGCAGGTGGGTAACCAGCGCAAACCCTCAGCAAGACGCATCTCACAGCCGCTGTGCACAGCCCATTTATGTCCCTCATGCGCAAAGAGCTTCGCCGTGACTTCAGGAACGCTTAGGAATGAATGGGGGTCCATTCTGAGCTGGACCCCTCCCCTCCAAGGCCGCCTTGCCCCCACCTGCTCTGCCCCCCAGCCATTCTGCCGCCCCCCCTCCAAATAATCAGTGCAGCTTAGCTCGGCAGCAACCGGCACAGGCCAAAGTCAAGGGGGAGCCTGTGGTTTCGCCCCACAATCAAAACAGTGCTGGGGGCACATCT